TTTCTTCAAAGAATAAAAATGATTGCTACTTTTCGTTTTACTAACAGACATACAGTTTTAATGAACTCCCCTAAATCAAGTATATAAAAACCAGGGAAAAAACACGTGAACCATACTTGGATGAGTAAGATTATAACCACATAGGAAGTATCATTTTGGTAAACTTGCTGTTTTTTTTTTTTCTTTTTCTTTTTTCCTTCTCAGGTTTCATTTTGTGTGTGGTTGATGTGAAAAGGTGGCATTTGGATTTTCTCTTTCACTATTTTTAACTTAGATTTTATGTGTAAATCAATAAATAGTACTATTTTATAATAAACTGAAAACTTCTGCTGGTTAGCTTATTGCTACAGTCTTCCAGGTTATACAGAAATTATATTTGTGGTTTTAAAATATATCCTTTGCCTATAGAGGTTTGTGGAAACTTAGGTAAGATGCAACTTTCAGAAGATAGGGAAAGCCTAAGGAAGAAAATGTTTTCTTTATTTTCTTCCCCACATTGGAAGAATTACTAGGAGTTGTAATTTACTCTGATAACATGGTAGCCATCAACTCGGTCTCAAATCAGTCATTTAGTTCTTTTTACATATGATATGAGCATGATAAGATATAGATATGGGCATATCCATAAACATTTGCCTGAAAAATTTTAATCATAGACTTTTTGAAAAAATATTATTAGTGGTAGAATTGGTATGAATTTATTTACATAAAATGCTATTATAAAAGTAAACTATAATTTTAGTATTAGAATACAAAATGTCTAAGTAGGATCCTCGACTGTGTACCTAGTCAGAAATACTAAAGCTCATCTGTAAGTCCTTAATTAGGAAAGATAATCCTTATCCATTTGCATATTTAAAAAATAATGTAAGTATATGCAATTTGAGGGTTGTTTTGTTTTATTTACTAATATGAAGGATTCATGTATTATTGGTGGAAAAGGTCAAGCCATAGTTATAAGTATCATAAATAACCCTCAGATGGGACACTATCTCTGGTAGACACTTTTCTTACAACTACTAAATTGATAGTGTTACAACTTTTTTGTAATGTGTTTGGCATGTGAATTCTCTACTGAGCTCTAGATGTCCAGTTCAGCATTTAAAAATATTACTTTTCTCCCCAATTTTATTTATGTCCTTGAAGCTTTACTCTTTTGTTATCTAGAAATAGTCCAGTCCGTTTGGAATATTGTCTTGTTTGGAATATTGTCTAGTTTAATTAAACTTTCAATTTCGAGTATTCTGGTAAATGAAATTAATTTAAATATGTTAAATGCAAGTGTAAAGACCCCATGTGAGCATTTGTTAGAAGTATATGTTCCATTTGCATTAGTGGAAATTATTTATAAATTTAGAGATCAGATTTTTCTCTATAATGATCCTTTCTATTACTCCCCAAGTAGCGGCAAATATACTTGTTCCGACCTGCATTGCAAGGGAAAACATGAAGTTGTTTCCTAAAATAGGGGTAGTTTATTTAAGATCTTTAAAAAGTTCCAAAAAAAATGTCTTTCAGTTATAGGACAGTTGATTTATTCATTAAAGGCAAGGATTTGTTTTTTTTACTATTTGAGTTTTGCTTTTTTTGGCATTTAGGGGAAAAAAATCATGTATTCTGTGACATGAAGCTACAGTTATTTATAGTAACCAGTTTACTAAAACAAGAACTGTCATAGTTGATATCGAGAGTGCCATAGGCACATATTTTTTCTGTAACTATTTCTGGACAAGTTTCTCTTCTAGTCTTGAGATTTTTGTGATAAGCATATTTAATTTGTCAAGTTTGGGTTCCTATTCAAGATTGGTTGGTGGAAAAGTTGACAAAACATTTGTTTCTTATATGGTTCACTTATTTAGTAAATGTTTTTTGAGGACTGTAATAGGTGATGGAGATACAATTAAAATTCAGAAGAAATATTCAAAGAGATGTGAGGAAAACATTTCAAAGGAAAGACGGTTAAAAGAGAAGGTATTTGAAGTTCCTTTTGACAAGTGATGAGTAGAAGGGTAGTTGTTTAGTATTTTCAATTTATGTGGCTATTGAAAAAATATATATCCACACACATATATATAAAAGAAATACTGAGATATTTTACATTATTTTTGTACTAAATCTTTGAACTCCCATGTGAATTTTATCCTTACAGTACGTCTCAGTTTGGACTAGCCACACTTTAAGTGCTCAATATCCGCGTGGGGGCCTGGTGGCTACGATCTTGGATAGTGTGGCCCTAGATTGTCCTGTCTCACCTTTCAGATCACAGCTTGTCATTTGTTAGGAAACCTTTCTCTGATTCCCTAGGTCTTTCAGTTTCCTTTCATCCTCAGTCTTTTAGAATTGTATTCTTTTCCTTTAGAGCATTTATCATAGTTCTAAGTTAATCTTTACTTAGTGAGGTTGTTTGATGCTTGTCCGTTCCACTAGATAATAGGCATGAGTGTTTCCCATTGTATTGCCAGTCTTTAAACACAACTGGTGCCAATAAATAGTATTTGACTTAATGAGTAATGCTAATTACTAGTATTGGGTAACTTGACCAGAGTCACACATTTGATTTTAGAATCAGGCACTAAATTCTTTCTAATTCATTTTGCTGGGATGAGTATGTATAAAATATCACTAATATGAGAAGTGGTTTTAATCATAAGTTGTTTACTTCTAATGGTGTTTTCATAGGTAATAGTTCTGTAAGCTGTCATGTATTTTTAACTAGTAGGAAGCTTTTAAAACTATAAGGATATTTTTGAGTTGATTTAACAGACCTGATGATAAAAGAGGTTTAATAATTCAAATTTTTTTACTTAAATTTCCTGCTCACATTTATCCTGAAAATTATAAGACCTACTTAAATTATTATAAAATTAAATTATTTAAAATGAATTTTTATAAGAATGAAGATTTTTGGATACACTTCACTGAATGTAGTAGTCTAACTTTTTAAAGAATGCTTACCAGGTGAGTTTGATAAAATGATTAAACCACGTGATCCTCAGTACATAATTTACTAAAAAGCCAAGAAATTATATTTTGGTCATATTTTAGGCAATCATAGGTTGTACTATAGTCTTGAGTATAAAAAAGAAATTAAACATGGTCCTTAACCTAGGTAAGTTCACACTTTTGTGTGTACTATGTAAGTAGAAAGAGTGAGATGCTGTTAAAGAGTTGGGTAAGATTTCGTTGCAAAGCTAATATTTGAACTGTATCTTGAAGGGATAGTAGGTGTTTATCAAAGGAAGAAGAGAGGGAAGGGTATTTCAGTCAAAGGAACAGCAAATACACAGTTACACGGTTTCAAAACACTTTGTAATAGTTCCTCTAAGCAATTAGCACTAAATAATTCAGTCTGGCTACAACATAGTATGTATGGGTAGGCGCAGAGCCAGGAAATAAGTCTGGAAAGGCATCTTGACGCTAGATTCATAAAGAGCACCCTGTGGCACTCTGAGGACCTTGGACCTATTCCTGTGCAGTAGGGAGCAAAATGATGGAAAGGAGACCTGAAAAGTGAGCAGTGAGGAGGCGGTTACAGTAAAAGAAATAGTAGGGCATGGACTGCCTTAGTGTGGGGGGTGGGCAGAGGGTACAGGGTATACACTGTTTATTCACCCCCACGCCAACCCCTTCCCCTCCACCAAGAACTCATGAATTGAGGAGAGGGTATAAATCGGGCAGACTCTTCTTTAAATATCAGAGATCATAATGTGTCTGTGTTACAGTGAATTTTAATGGAAACTTACTGTGTAATAAGTCTGTTAATTACTAAAGACAGGATACATTTTACAAAGTAAAAATGATTATGATTCACTCGGTGTCACTTTTCACTGCATGCTGAGACTAAAAATGTAAATTATTTCATCCTCAGTGATAGCCTGATTTTGCTGTGTGGTCATATTAACTTTAAACAAGTTAACAGTGAAAGGAGGGGGCGGGCCCTGTGGCCTAGGGGTCCTAGGGGTTCAAGTTCAGCGCGGTCCGCTCTGGCGGCCTGGGTTCGCGGATTTGGATCCCAGACGCGGACCTACTCCACCCATCAGCCATGCTGTGGAGGCATCCCACATACAAAGTAGAGGAAGACTGGCACACATGTTAGCTCAGGGCGAATCTTCCTCACCAAAAAAAAAAAAAAAAGTGAAAGGATATTCCATGAATTAATTTAAAAAGGGGTTACATGTTTTACTAGTGCGTTGGAGTTTTAATTACATGTTATATGTTAGAGACTATTTTCAGACTTGTCAGAATTTAAGGAATGAAGTAGAAGTCTAAATAGGATAGTTTGTAAAAGCATAACTCTGTATACCATGAACCAACACTGGAACCAGGAACAAGCAGCCTGAATAAAATGCCGTGGCTTTGAAACTGTCTCTCTTCTTTTGTTGCATAGGGAGATTACAGGGGCCAAAGCAGCAGTAAGAAAAAACGCTATTTATTCTGCTTTCTGTCCCAATCCTGTAACATAGCTTTGCTGAAATTTATTAGGAAAGTCTCCCTAGTCTTAGTGGTTGCAAGGGTCTACGGGCAGGACACTGGCGTGTTTTCCTGACAACGCTTTGCCACTGTCATACACAGCAGGCAAGTCAAACCGAGCTGAATGCTGCACGAGTCCTTCCCGTTTCCACTGGCCCTTCAGCTGTGTTTGGAAAGGGCAGTGGAGAGTGGTCTGACTCTTGTTCTCATCCTTATCATGTGTCATTTGTGGGGCATCACAAGGTTGGTGTTGTGACAGGCTTTTCATTATATTCACCTTTTAAGCCTTAAGTGAGGTTTCAGTGTGGCAAAAATAGGTTAATGTTTTAAAAACATACTGTATTACTGACTGTAAAACAATATATGTGATCAGTGTTAAACTTCATAAATGATATTTAAATCAAATTTCATAATGATATTCTTATAATTGATTTTGATAACTTCACTATTTCAAAGAGCTGAATTATATTATTCTTTTAGATATAATCTTTTGTTTAAATGAATTAAAATATATTTGTTTTTCCATGCAGATTTGAGTTCTGTGAACCTGCATTTGTGGTTGGTAATTGCCTCCAGATAGCATCTGACAGTCATCAGTATGATCGAATTTACTGTGGAGCTGGAGTCCAGAAAGACCATGAAAACTACATGAAAATATTACTAAAAGTGGGAGGCATTCTAGTCATGCCCATAGAAGATCAGGTGACTTCTGCTGTCCTTTTGCTTAATGGCCTAGGAAGCAAACACATTAGTTTAAGGTGGGAAGTGATACATCAGTGAGAAGTACATTGTAATTTTTAAAGGAGTACTTTTCTCAGATCTATATAGAAAAAACTTGAAATGGAGTCTTAGTGATTTAAGCAATGCAGAGAGAGAAGAGATCCCTATACTAGGATTAGAGGAGACGGGCTTTCACCCAAGCTTAGCTGCTGCCTGAGTGGTGTTGGCCTGGGTGCTCCCTCCTCAGTTTCCTCACCTGGAGGTGTTGAGTTGAATGTGATGATCTCTGCTAGCTGTTTGGTTTTCAACATTCTTTAATTCTTTGAACATACAGAAAAGAAATCCTGTTTGGGGTTTGGTCTGAACTGCTTAACTCCGTTAAAGAAACAAGTAAATTTTTAGATTTTCATTTAGTACTGTGTAGATCCCTTTTGAAAATATTCTTCAGCTGCGTTTGGTTTGGAATTATTAGGTATAATAAATATATGAAATACTAATTTATTCACAAAATGGGTGGGGCTTTCAAGACCAAATTACTTAAAAAATTTATAAGAATGTATTTCAAGAAAGTGTCTTTAGGGGGCTGGCCTGGTCCTATAATGGTTAAGTTCGTGCGCTCCACTTCGGCGGCCCAAGGTTCGCAAATTCGGATCCCAGGTGCAGGTGTACACACTACTTATCAAGCCGTGCTGTGGTGGTGTCCCATATAAAATAGAGGAAGATGGGCATGGATGTTAGCCCAGGGCCAGTCTTCCTCAGCAAAAAGAGAAGGATTGGCAACAGATGTTAGCTCAGGGCTAGTCTTCCTCACACACACATACACAAGAGTATCTTTAATATTCGTTAACCTAAATCTGAGATTTTTAAAACACCTTGTGGTTTGTACAGTAGAAGATAGATTGTCTAAGATGACTGGGACTTAGCATGATCATTTTGGAGTTTATATATCTTGGGGGGTCCCTTAACATCACAACACGTTATTTGCAGCTCAGTGGATTTCACCATTACCATGCATTGTGCTCTGTAGCAAATTGTTTGTCAGTTATTAAAAAGACAATATAAAACCATTCATTAAAAAACGTTCCTGGGAAAATGTTCCTTGGATGCTTCTAGAGTTGAGATTCCTAGATGAACAATCTTTTTCTGTTTTCCTTTAAAGATGCTTTTTCAAACATTTAAAATATGGTTTATCATTAGTATTTTATTACATATTTGTTATATACTGTTGTACTAATGCAAAATATAGTAATGGGCTGATTTTTATAATATAAACTGAAGATACTAATTCACTTTGATTAAGCTGTGTACTGAGCTAATATTTTTTTCCAAGAACTAGCAATGGGTGTTTGCTGAGTAGCTATAACTTCTAATCCCTTTGTGACTAATTGCATTTATTTGTGAATTATCAGTTAGAATCTATATTTTATTACTATCATGGAAGATCATGAAGTTGACTCATTGGTACAGTAATCAAAACATGGTTTTATTAGTTTAATGCTTTAACTAAACTACTGAACCCATGTGAGACGTATATTTTGGAAGCCAGTGGCAGGTATGGATTGGAATAATACCCCTAGAAGCTATCAGACCCCAAATATAACATCAGAGTCACTTGGCCATATTTGGATATTCCATTTGCATTGAAATATCTATCGTGAACAGCAAATATATTACTTTATGGTAAATATTTAAATGAAAGTAATTTGGTTGCATTCAAATATAAGTGATTATATAGCAGTCATTGACAATTATTCTTTAAAACAAAATTGTGATGAAGGTGATCACGTTTCTGGGATTAAGTTATTTTATTTCTCTTTTCCCTCTAAATAGTTAACACAAATTATGCGAACTGGACAAAACACTTGGGAAAGTAAAAATATCCTTGCTGTTTCATTTGCTCCACTTGTGCAACCAAGTAAGAATGATAATGGGAAAGCAGATTCTGTGGGACTCCGTAAGTAGCTGTTGGTCCTTTTCAGTCGAACTGTGACTTAACTCCTATGCTTGGGGTTTAATGGACTATGTAATCATGGAGAATTAAATCAAATATACAGTAGTAATATATTCAATATATGAAGGATTTATTCAACTTTTTTTGTGTGTGTGTGTGTGGATGAAGCCCCTACCTCGCACGAGGCACTGTTAGCTGCCTTCATGGAAACAGGAAAAGAAAGGGCAGGTCAAACAAAAATGAATATATTAATTATAGTAAATTTGTTGGCATCATTTTTCATACAGAGGGACAGCAAACACAAAAGCCTTTGTTTAGGCTGAAAAGAGCTTGGTCGTTCCAAGACCAGAAATATATTTTAGGGTAGTTAAAGCTCATTGGCTAGGCCGTAAAGGATAGATTATACAAGACTTTCGTTACACTCAAGGAGAGAGTCAGTGTTGCTGTGGATCTAGTTGTTTGAAGTTAGGAACGTAGTGAACTGTGTAGACGGTGGAGGGAAAGAGGGATCTGAAGTTTTGCCTTGAGCGGGTAACTCAGTGATGGCACCGCTCATTGCTCTTTGGAATACTAGGGGTGCGGTAGTTTGGAAATAGGTGTAGGGAGATCAGATACTTTATTTTGACCATGTTTGAGTTTCCTGTTAGCATATAAATGTCAGGTAGTCAAGTGGATGTAAATCTGCACGAGGGAGGTATCAACTGAGAATCCTAAACATAAAGCTGGCACTTTAAGCCGTGAGAATGGATGAAAACACTTAGGGGAGAGTGGAGATGGAAAAGAGGTGTTAGGATTGGACCTGTGGTCCACCAAATTCAGAGATAAAACAGAGGAAGACAAATTTTAGCAGAGGAAGGGCCGAGAGATGGGAGGACACCAGTGTGCACAGTGTGAAAACCAAGAAAGAAACGTGTTTCAAGAAGGAGAGTAATCAGTTTAGTGAGGGCTACTGAGATCTCTAGAGAGAAGAGGTGAGAGAAATATTAATTGGTTTAACATATATCATGGTTTTAGAAATCGTTAAGTAAAGTTCTTTACCAAAAACGAACTTTACCGTAGTAGACCTCTTGCTTTAATTTGCTTTTTAAATGAATTTATTTCATAGGAACCTGGCTTTATAGAGAAATTTTTTATTTTCGATGTTCATTTTACCCTCTTTCAAGGTATGTAATTTTGTGGCCATTTGGGGTGGTTTTGGGAATTATATGAAGTAGTATTTATAAAGTGTTTGGCATGTAATAATTTTTAGGATCAGTAAATTACCCCCATTTTCCTTGCTCAGGTTGTTACCAATGGAGAGATGGACTTGATCAGATAGCTAGGAATTGAAATGTCAACTTTTTACCAACCAAAGTAGGTGGGGGAATATGGCTTAGGTCTGTACCTTTAAATTAGACAGACTTAACCCTCCCAGTTACAGGCAGCAGTGGCCAGCCCCCACCATGTGAGCTTACCCTGTAAATATGTGGGTGAGCAGAGCTCCATTGTGCACTTGTAAGTAGACATATCCCAGAGGAAAAGAGACATATCCCAAAGGGAGGAGCCACCCATGGCTGCTTCTTCCACACACACAGACTATACAAGCCGCTCCTCCTGCCTCAGGGAGGAGTGAGTGTGCTGACACAGAGACCTATGGAGCTCTGCGGTAAACGTCAGGGGCATGGAGGTCTCTTTCTCGGGACCCTGGGAGAGGGCTCACTAGCGTTCTTCTCTAACAGGAGCTGCCGTCCAAGGAGACCTGTTGACCAGTCTCTATGGATTCATAAGATTCATACATTCTGACACAGTGCTCTTATTTTGATCTCATTTAGAAAGAAGTTAGGCACTCAGTTGTAAAAAAAAAAAAAAATTTGAACCTTTCGTAATTTAGAAAGTGTTATCAACCATTTTTTTCAGATATACTTGTTGCTAATACATGCTACTTATGGAAAAGATTTGAGTCAACCTACACAACAAATCCACATAAAACTATTATATAAGGAAACTTGAGTATAAGGAAAATTAAAAATAAAGTAAGAATGATAAAAAACAAACCAAAGGATTATAAAAAAGACTCATTCTATTACAAATGTAAAGTTACTCCGCTGAAATGTTAAATTTAAACTTCTTTCCAGTCTAGTCAAAAAGAGATACATGCTGGGTATGATCTGGGACCGAAGGGGATTTCTTTCTTTCTAGCACCAGAATCAAGTAATTGTCACTTATATTTAGCTGCATTATACAGTTATTTCAGTGAAGTCTACTTTTTAGTAGACTATACACACACCACACCCATATATATACATGTATGTATGTATAAATGTATGTGTAAAATATATGTACTATATAACATAGTAGACTATACTATAATATTGAATACTTAAACTCCTTGCTAAAAGCAAGAGTAGTAACAAAGCTATTTCCTTGCTTCTATTTTCCCAACATTAGAATTACAGTTTATTTATGACAGTTTTATTTAACCTGTCATAACTTGTTGGAAAGTCACAAAGAGAAGTAATGAAAAAATTCTCTGGCACAATTTGGCTTTGACAGTGGCCTAGCCATAAGCATAATGTGCATCTTGTGTAAGTGTACTTTTAGAGCCCCTGTAGATTTCTGTGCAATAGCTATTTAAGTGTTTCACTTCGTAACTGACACTGTTAGAACCCTCAGCATTTTTCTTTTTATCTGACAGTTTTCCTGGTTTCCTTTAGGAGAGTCTTGGTTGTAAATGTGGTTTATGGTAACGTAATTTATGAATGATGATATGCTGTAAATGAACAGTTTCTGTTCTTCATTTTAAGGAGTCAGCACAAATAGATCTAGGTAATTAATGAGACTGTCATTGGTTGGGTTGATTGACATTTATAACTGTGAATGTAAAGTAGGAGTAAATTTAGTGGAAAAGGATAAAATGGGGGAAGAACCTAAATTAAAAAAAATCTTTCACACCTCTGAAATATTTACAGGTGAAATGATCTGTCTAAACTTTTCGTCAAAATAATCTGGGAGAGGGATGGGAAGAGGAAATGGAGTGTTGATGAAGTAGGATTAGCCATAAGGAGTAATTATTGAAGCTGAGTGTTTGGTATAAATGGGGTTCCTTATACTATTGACTCTCTTTTTGTATGTACTTGAAAGTTTCTATCATAAAAAGAAAAAAAAGTCATCAGCTACCAACATAAAAATGAGTCAGGAATTTGAATTTCTAAAAAACGCTTCATGTAGTAATGTTCGCAGAATGAAAAAAGTTTGAAAATTATTGTCAAAATTTAATAGGATGTATGGAGAATAAGAGCCAGTTTCCTTTTCTGTTAAAATAGCTTTCTGTTCAGAGAACATTATTTCATTAATTGTAGGGAGTTAAAATATGAAAGAATGTTAGTACAAAAAAAACCCTAAAAAAGTACACAGGCAAATTCTTGGCTAAATGTATTTTGTAGCTGTGAAATTGCTCATATAAACAGTTACTGAAGTGTGGTTATAACTTTTCCTCAGGTTTATCACTAATTTTTATTCAACTTAAAGTCATATTTCTTTGTTTTTTCTTTGATGTAAGACATTCTAAAAACGATACACTGCTTAAAGTTCAGGGCAGGCCCCTTGGAAAGGGGTAAAGGAAAAACTCCATCAACTAAAGGAAAACTTTGTTTCCTCTGTGCACCACCCACCGAATACTGGTGTACTCCAGGTGTGTGGGTTTTTCCACATCAAGCAATTCTCCATTTCTTTGCGGACACCAACTAGGTGTCCTGTGATCTAACTCAGTTCTGACACTAACCTGTGTTAGCACAGACCCCACAGGTTAAGGGTTCTATCCCACAAGACTGCCCCTTTCTTCCAACTTTAGACACCAGTCCCAAGTGCAAGTTGTCACCCGTGTTTCTGATAGCCTGGCTATATATCAGAGGCTCCCATGACCCCCTCCTAGAGTGCGATAATTTGTTAGAGTGGCTCATAGAACCCAGGAAAACAGTTTATTTACTAGATTATCGGTTTGTTATAAAAGGATCCAACAGCAGCCAGATGGAAGTGATGCATAGAGCAAGGTATGTGGGAAGGGTGCAGAGCTTCCATGCCTTTTTTGGGTGTGCCACCCTCCCAGCACCTCCACGTATTCATCGGCCCAGAATTGCTGAACCCTTTTAGCTAGGGCTTTTATGGAGGCTTGATTGATTATATCATTGGTCATTGGTCATTAACTCAACCTCCAGCCCGTCCCCCTCTGAAAGTTCCAATCCTCTAATCACATGGTTGGTTTGCCCTGACAACCAGCCCAGCATCCTTAGGGGCTTACCAAAAGTCACCTCATTAACATCAACTTGGGTGTAGTTGAAAGGAACTTCTTATGAACAACCTTTATGCTCTTATCACTTAGGAAATTTCAGGTGTCTTAGGAGCTCTGTGTCAGGAATGGGAAGCCAAATGTATATTTCTTATTATAAATCATGGTATCACAAGGGACAAAAGAGACTTCATAAATTGTGGCACTATACCAGATTGAGCTGTTTGAAGTTGCTGTTTTTATAGGTTAAAAATAGCAAAAAATTGTTGGTTTTGTGGATTTTACCTAAATAAAATGCCCTTTTCAGTCTTTGTTAACAAGTAAAAATGTAAGTGCTGACTGCTGGGTTCCTATAAAATCTAAATAGAGACTTCCTTTTGGGAAACAAACAGAGCTTACATGTGTGTGTTAGAGATAACCTTAATTGTAATTTTGGAGTGAAAGCTTCAATTCAGAATAAAATTTTATTGCAGTCAGGATTAGTATTTTCTGGTCCATTAAATTCTTCTCTCATAACTGGAAGCATTAGAAACAAGGGAATGTTAAAGAATAGAAAATATTGGTGATTTTTTAATAGGTAGGGCTGAGAATTATCTAAAAGTTTTTGTATCATTCAGAAGAACTTTTAAATGAAGCCGATGTGGATGCTATTTTAGGACTTCTGAGTATTAGAAACTGCTAAAATAAAGTCTAAATCCTTTTCCACTCTGGGTCTAGTTGGTTTTTATGAAGTTCAGGTATTCTGATAGTTTAGGATTGAAAGCTTCATTATTCTAACAGTGTCCCTGGAATAACAGACAGTGTTGGCAGAGGAATAACGTAATTAAGGTATTGAAAGAGAATACCAGTAATGTAAGAGAAGTTCAAGTGCAGCTGAAAAGACTCATTATAGCTTCTATTTCTTAGCTCCTTTTAATTTCTAAAACTCTTTTATAGATTATTTTCCACCCTCCCCTTTTGCAGAGTCTGCGCGAGCTTCGGCCTTTCTTGTTCCCTGTCTACACTTCCTTTTGGGCACTTTCCTGGTCTTTGTATGTCACAATGGGCTGATGACTCCCAGATTTCTATCTTCAGCCCTGACCTTGCCCCTGAGTCTCAGAGTCATGACTAAACTGCTTGTGGTTGGAAAGGAGCATAGACTCTGAAGTCAGATGCCTGCATTCAGGTCCCAGCTCACATTACTTAGGACCTCTGTGACCTTGAGCAAGCTATTTAAACTCTCTTGACTTCACTTTCCTCACTTAGCATTAACTGGGTTGTTACACGTAAAACATCAAAATGGTGACTGGTATGTCGTTGTTATTATTCCTGAAATCTCCATTTTGTGTAGGTAATAGACACTTGAGTTTTAACACAAACAAAACAAATTTTTGATTTTCTTCTCCTCAAACTGTTCTTCCTTTTTGTCATGTCAGTAATTGACATTAGTGTTTGCCTAGTCGCTTGGGCCAAAAACTTTCCCACATGCAATTCCTGTTCATCCTGTCTTCAAAATATGTTTCAGATTTGTCCACTACTCTTCATCTTTACTGCTACCCTCCCCCACTCCCACTTCCACCATAGTGTGGTCATATCTCACATGGATTACTGGAGTGTTCCAGCTAACCTACTTTCTCTCTTGACAATCTGTGCTCCACAGAGGAGCCAGAGCATCATTTTCATGTAACCTCTGGCTTATGAAAACCCGTGAGTAGCTGCATGGTAAATGTAATGCACATTCCACAAGACCATGCATGATCAGGTTTTTTTTTACTATTTTCCTCCTGCTCCAAACTTCACCTACACTAGCCTTCTTTCAGCTCCTTGAACATGCCAAGCTCATGTACCTCGTAGGGCTTTGATATTCCCTCTGCCCCAAGGTATTTACATGGCTATTTGCTCATGTCATTTAGATCCTAGCTCAGACTGACTTCCTCAGGTAGACCATTTGGACTGCCCAATCGAAAGTAGCCATGCCCTTGTGTTACTTTCTGCATCATTGGTGTTTTTTCCCATATTCCCTGTTTTGTTTTTTTTTCCATAATTATTTTTTATCAACACCCTCCCCCCCCAAACATATAATCTGCATAAGACCAAGGACTTTCTTAGTCTAAATCATCTGCTGTCTGAATGAGTTCTTTAACAGTACCTGGTATATAGTTTAACACAGAGTTGTTGAATGAATGTTAAATAACTTAATGAACAGTTTTGTAAGGTAGGCAAAGTGGGTGATATTTTACACGTTTTAACATAGAAGGCGTGAGATCTCACATCTGTTGTTACTTATCCATGTTCACAAAACTAATTGTTGGGAGAAGCAGGGTTTGAACTCCAGTTGTTGTAGTTTCAGTTTCCACCTCATATAGTGCGGGGCAGGCCCAGACAGTAGAACAAATGATTTCTAGCCAAACATGCCCGATATGGCTCTTTGGAATTCTTTTCCATTTCAGGTTTCAGTAGAGAGTTGAAAAAAGACAATTTGAAGAAAAGGTTTTGTAGTGGGCCAAATAGGTGTATGTTAAGGGATCTTTGAATCAGTCTAAAAAGTCTCCTATCCTGGGGTTTTGTGAAAAGCTATACCTACTACGGCAGGATGTATCCAGTTTGTGATTGGGCATAGCCCAAGGCACTGGGGTACCGGGAGAAGAACACAGGAAGCACGTTGTGAGCCTTGGACAGCATGATGTACTGTGCAAGGCTAGTGCCTACAGGGCCCTGTGCAGAGTGTGAAGAGGAACGCCACGGCTCCTCCCCTCCTAGAGCTCACAGTCTGATGGCAAAGACAGACCACACGTGAATAACTCAAGAAGGCAGGGTTTCAAATGTTCTAACAAAAACTTTTGGAAGGGAGGCATCCAGAAAAGAGTATCAAAAGTAAAGAAATAAAAAATAAATGATGAAGACTTTTTTAATGTTGTTTAACTATGTTTTGTTTAGATATTTGAGAAGGATCCTTGACAATAGTTTTATTTCCACAGGGATGGAAACTAGGAGAAGTAAATTTCAGGTGGGAACTATAGAGAATTTATTTCTCTATGTGGAAAGTATTGGAACAGGCTACGAAGAAGAGTATGTGGTTCTAGGGCTTCTGCATTTATGTATCTGAGGGAGATGGGAGGGAAGCAGACAGGATATGTTCCAACTCGGTGATGTATTGGATAGAAGTGAACATCAGTAACTTAAAGAAAGCTTTGGTGTTTCTTTGGGCTATTAAAGTGTTTGTTTATCATGCTGGTTTCTGGTTTCCCTTCGCCTATGAACCAGTTCTGCTTGTTGATTTACAGAAAGATAGAAACTGTGTGTGTGCACATGCATGTGTGTAATAGCTTTAGAGTTCAGACTGAGGCAGCTGTTCAAATGTTGCCTTTGAGTTTTTTGACTAGGTAGTGCTTTCAACATCAAAAAATATAAAAAAATATGTACAGTAAAATCTCACTCCTATTCTTGTCCTCTAACTACTTAATTCTCATGTACTCTGTTTCTAAGTTCTCATTTATCTTTCCAAAGAATCTTTATGCATATGCATGGGAACACACACACACATATCTGTACACGTAAACTCTGTACTGTCCACTGTTCTCAGTGCTTAGAATGGTGCTTGGCGTATAGTAAGCATCGTGAAATCTTTGTTAGATGAAAGCCAGAGTGTTTATACTTTCTATGTTTTCTAATATTCGCTGAGAAATACATATTTTGTTCTGTGAAGAAATGAACAATGTATAATGTTTTGCTTTTTGTGTTTTGTGTGTGTGTGTGTGTTTCTTTTTAGCCCCCTGTGCTGTCAGGAATCTCCAGGACTTGGCTCGTATTTACATTCGACGCACACTTAGAAATTTCATAAATGACGAGATGCAGGCCAAGGGGATTCCTCAGAGGGCTCCCCCCAAAAGGAAAAGAAAGAGAGTTAAACAGAGAATTAACACTTACGTATTTGTGGGTAATCAGCTTATTCCTCAGCCTCTAGACAGTGAGGAGGATGAAAAAATGGAAGAAGATAACAAAGAAGAGGAGGAGAAAGATCACAGTGAAGCCGTGAAGCCAGAGGAGCCACCTCAGAATTTACTGAGAGAAAAAATCATGAAGCTCCCCCTTCCTGAATCTTTAAAAGCTTACTTGACATATTTTAGAGAAAAATAACTTAGATCAAGAAGAAAGAATGCCTACTGATAATTCCTTTAGTCTTGAAAATGTAGCATTTGTTAGGAGTTAAAAGAGAGAATTCTTTCTTTCATCAGAGCAAATTATAGTGGAAAAAAGTATAACTTGTTTGTGTCTTAATAAAAATGATGTATTCAGTGATTAAAAAGAATCCCTTTTATAAAATATATTTTTCTTTAAATCTTAGAAAAATTACTGTTTTAAGTCAGAGTGACTCCAAGAGTGGAATGCAACAATAGTCAAGACTCTACTGTAAATCCTTTTCTGATTCCTTGCAGATTTGTAGTGGTGAGGGTTAGATTTAATTTTATAGAAGGTTAAATAACTGTTTAGCGTATATAATCTGATTTGAATCGCAGCTGTTTGCATATCTTCTATGGAAACTTTCTTCTCTAGTAAGGAAATCAAATGCTGTGTAGACCCACTTTTGTTGCAGTCACTATTGCTGAGTTGCTATAGATGTATTCCGGGCAATATATGAGTGCAATAACAATACAGATATTGAATAATTTAGCTTTAAAAAAAGTTTCATGGAATTCAACAGCACTGCTACTTTTGCTTTTGAATCTATTGCCAAAAGACATGAGGAAAAGATCTGCTTCTCTCATAGAGATTTTAAGAGCACATCAAGTGAATATTGAAGTAAGAAGTATATACTTAATACAACTCTTAATTTGTATGGACCCTTTACATTTTCAGTATTTAAAAATAATGAGGTTATCTTACTCTCTGGTGTTTTAGAAGACAGTTTTTTCTAGATTCTAAAATGTTGGCTTTAAAAAAAAATCCGTCGTCCTATACGACTATTGACAGCACAGACAGCGAGTGAATAAGCCTGAGTGACAGCCAGAGCAGATTTGGATAACGGGTACACTTCAGCAGACAGGACTTTTTGTTCATCTGAATATTTTGTCTTTGACAAGGCAGGGCTGAGCTAGCCTACACTTGCTTTGCAATTCATCTTTGTAGTATAGGAAATATTCACAGACATTGTATGTAGATGCCTTTTGCTTTGAAAATGCAGTTCAGAATCATAGTGTAATCTTTGGGACCTACGTTGTGCTCATTTAACTTCTTCCCATGTGTTTTTTTTGTTTGTTTCTTTGGGTAGAATTATAATAATTTTTATTTTTCGCTTAATATCACGTACTTAAACTATCCATCATTTGAATGTTAGTTATAGCTTATCAGTGATAAAACAGGTAGTAAATGCCATTATTGGTTTGTTTCTTTTCTTTCTACTAGGGCCTGAAAACAGTCATTCCTTGTTAAGAAAGTCTACAGTATAACATATTTACTACTTAGTGTTACATGGATTATATATTTTTGAAAAGGACAAATTTGAAAGTATCACTTATTACCACCAGCATCACTATTAAACAGTTGATCAAATATGCTTAAGGCAACCCAGTCAAGGTATAGGGAAAGGATTGTTATCTCTCTGCAAAGATTCAACTATTAGTAATATATAGATGGTTTCAAAAATCTCAGCTCTGGTAATTCCACACATCTAAAAGCAAGTGCTTAAAATATTCTAAACATGAATTATTCCAAGTAAATAAGGATATTTTAGTAGTGCGAAAGATAATTTCATGAAAGATATTTGTTTTATACCAGTGATTGGGGATATCGCCACAGTTTTTCATAGATGATTACTAACTGTTGATGCCCCATCTCATTTCTATCAAGGAAAAAAAATAGTTTCATACAATTGTCATCTGTTAGAAATGTTCATTTTCTTTTGAATTAAATGTTAGTTTTAGGAATTTAATCTTGAGTTCCTGGTGCCCATGTATTTTTTCCAGCATCCCCACCCTCCTTTGTTGTTGGAGCTGGTGTCCAGATATGTAAACATACATATTCTTAAATGATGATTTTACTATTCAAGGGAGAGATTTTGTTAAGGATATATTTGAAGATTGACTTTTCATATTGTCTTTCATTCTGTTGACCTTGACAAAGTGTACAGCAGATTTTCATGATCATTGCATATTTTTTGTCATTGATATGTACCTTTTGTGTTTTTAAATGCATTCATTTTACAGTTGTGGCTTAATAGACTTCAAATAAAGAAGTAGAAATAACTAATGAAATTTCAAGTGAAAGCCCTTTTATCGATTAATGGAAATATATTAGAATGATTAAGAATATTTTGGTTTGTGTTTATTTTTTAATGAATTCATGATTACTTAGGTATGGATAATTATGCTTTATAGATGAAGTAGCAAATAAAGACAGAGTAAAGTTAATTGAAAATGATGAGGAATATATTCATGGGATTTTACAGCCAGATAAAACAAAAGAAATAATCTAATCTAGTCTTTTATTTTTCAGAGAGAAAGTAGGCCTAGGGAAGTAGCATGATTTTCCTAAGTCGGACATCTAGTTGGAGATGCTTGAAATAGCATCCAGAAAGTGGTTAAGATTCGGCAGCTGGGGTTTGTTTCCAGTCAGGGAACCACACCCTCTGTTTCTCAGTTGTCATACTGTGGTGGCTGTGTGTTGCTGTGATGCTGAAAGCTACGCCACCAGTAATTCAAAACCCAGCAGGGTCACCCATGGTGGAGAGGTTTCAGTGGAGCTTCCAGACAAGACAGACTAGGAAGGACTTGGTCACCCACTTCCAAAAAATTGGCTGTGAAAACCCCATGAATACAGTGGAGCATTGTCTGAGATAACACTGGAAGGTGAGAGGATGGCACAAAAAGACCGAGCAGGGTTCTGTTCTGCTGCAAGGTTGCTAGGAGTGAGAATCGACTCCATTGCACTAACCACAATCTGATAAAACCCGAGAAACTATCAACGACCCAGAACTACCCAGGAGATAATTTGCCTGTACTGCTTGTTGGTCTATATATTTGGTTCTAGTATTAATAAAGAAAAATGTCATTAAAGTAGCGTACATAGTGGTTAAAATAAAATGCAAAATTGTAAGTGTTGGTTTCTAGCTGTTTGAGATGATAAAAGTGAAGCAAAACCTGTTAAATTATGGGAAGACTTGGAAAATTATTTTAAATAAACAGTTGCATATAATTAAGCATCATTCTCCAGTGCACTGGCTTTTCTTTTTCTCTTCTTTTTTAATTAGAAAAATCTCAATACACCTATGGATATATGCTGAGTTATGGTATTCAGTTTTCTGTATTTGGACATCTCATTTCCTTTTGACTATTGCCGCCTCTGAAGATTTAGGGTTTTTTAAAAATTTATTTTTAGAAAATATTCATTAGATAATGAAGGATATTTATAAGATATCTGCAAAGTACAAGGAATAATAATTCAAAAATAATTCAGTGTGCATGTAACTACACGTGTGTACCTACTACTAGGGTTGCCTACTAGCATTACTGTAACCTGTGTGCCGCTTCCCAATCTCATCTTAATCCCTACCTTCTCAGGGGTACCTCTTTTGTATTTATCAGAACTTTGCTTTTTGCTCTAGTTTTACCCATATGCTTGTATCTCTAAATAATATATTGTTTGGCTTCATACATGCTCAACTTGGTGTAAGTGGAATCATACTGTATGCATTCTTCTGCAGCTCACTTTTTTGCATTACCATTTGGAGATTGGTCCATGTTGTATATTATGTTAACATTCACAACTCACAGTTTAATTATTCATTCTGCTGTTGATGGACATTTGTTCTCTCAAATAGTTCAGTTGTGAACATTCTTCAACATGTCTTGTGGCTGTAGATGTGCACGAGTCTTCCTAGGGTGTATGTCTAGGAGTAGAAGTACTGGGTCATAGTATACGTTTACCTTCACTAGATGGTGCAAATTTGTTTCCCAAAATAGTGTCACAATATATGTTCCTTCCAGCAGTGTTTAAATGTTCTAATTATGCTATATCCTCACCTACATTTGATAGTGATTTTTGCCTATTGGGTAGTGTGAAGTGATATGGGCTTTGTTACTTGTTAAGGGGGTCTTGTATCTTTTCAAGTGTTTCTTGGTTTTCGGTTTTTTCTGTTAAGTGCCGGTTCATGTCTTGTAACATTAGGTAGTTTCTTTTTTAAAGAATTGGTTTCTAGGGTTTCCTTATGTAGTTTAGATATTAATCCATTGTCAGTTACACGTATTGCAGATAGTTCCAGGTAGTAAACATCTTTACTGTAGACATCTTTGCTGAAAGCTTTTTTTCTGAGTAACTAATTGGCTGTGGGGCTGTTTTGCCGTAAAAGATGAAATAACTGGGTGACAGGTGTTTTTTTTTTTTGCAGTTTGGTTTCATTTCTTCATTGATGAAGTTCTCGCAGTTACTCCCATTTTTATGTAATATAAATCTTAGCCCTTACAAGGGGCTATACATTGATGAGTAGACATGGTGGTGGTGGTCTTAAAATAGTTAGCATTTCTTCCAATTAGCCATATCTTACTGATGGCTTTATCGAGCTGACAGGTGGCTTTATCGAGCTGACAGGTGACGATGATTTGCCCCAAGAGTTGGTTTTTTATTCTGAAACACACTACATTGGAGGAGAAAAAGAGGCCAAGGGCCTCTTCTTCAAGGGAATAGATTTGAACCCACACAGAAGGAAGAAACCCGTAGAAGTGCTGAGTTAGGTACAATTCACACACAAAATAATCAGTTCTTGGTGCAGCATTGCCATGCATCTGCATACACACATTTTAAATGTTTTCAAATATTTTGTATTTTGCAAGAAAGTCTAATTTCGTTATTCATTTTTTCATGTTTCATTATGTCCTTTTAAATTAATGACCCTTTTTTTATTTTTCATGATTTTCTCTTTTACAGCAGAATTGCCTTTATGGCCAATTAGTGACGTGGCGAAAACGCTGGTGGCAAAGATGTCTGTGGCGAAACCAGCAGACACGCCTGCAAATATCTTTTCTCAGTTTGTGGCTGTTCTCATTCTGTTTGTGGCGTCTTTTGATGAACTGGCATTTTCAAGTGTAATTGTCAAATTCATCTTCGCACATGCGCAATCCCAAGGTCGTGAAAATACTAGCTTATATTTTCTTAGAAAAGTTGTGTGATTTTTGTCTTTCATGTTTACGTCTATAGTGTACCTGCTCTTGATCTTTGTGTCAGGTGGGAAATAATCTAGGTTCTTTGTTTTTTTTTTGTTACTTTGTTGATCAATTGTTTCCGCACCATTTTTTGAAAAGTCCCTGTTTTTTCCTCTGATCTGCGGTGTTAACTTGTCTTAAATTTGTTTTCTTATGTTGGTGCTCTGTGTCTAGGCCTTCTGTTATTACTCGATTTATGGATCCCTATGCTAAAACTACACAGTTTTA